AGCGTATATTGGGAATGACGTAACGCATCTAAGAAACGGACAGCTTAAGTGGTCGTTGAATAATTCAGAATGGATTCGATTTTTATAGATTTCGCCAGTCTGCTGTAGTGATACTTGAGAAAATCCTTGAAATCCTATTGTACAGTGTATCGTATGTATACGGTGGGTTAAGAAGTGAGGGGTGAGCCTGTTAAGGGTAAGAGCAATTTTGGAGAGGTTAAAAAAGAAAAAAAGCGTCTACCGAAACGAAGATCATTACGATCCGAATGACTCGGTGAGTCGGGATGAGCTTGCAGGCCTTTACTTAGCGTTAGCGTACCGCGTTTGCATTGCGCGTTCGTACGACGCCCGCGGCCATTGCTAACGACGCCATTGTCAGCGTCCTGGCCATTGTGCGCATCCTGCAGCAGCTATCGTCGAGCGAACCGGGTCGAAGCGAGCTGAAGACATAAAGGGCCGTGCATTCGTCGCGTGGCAAATAAAACGGATCGTCGTCATCGTCATTATCATCGACAGGCATTGGACTGGCAGGACGATGAAAGAGACAAACAAGGAGACTAGAGAAACAGAGGAGTGAAAAAAAATAGAGATACAGTACGAGCGAAAAAAAAATTTTTTTAAATTCCAGCTTGAATCTCGATTTCCCTAGGGGCGACAGTGGCGCTTGATTGCGAGTCTAGTCTCTTAAATCCTTAGTGAGCGCAAAGACGAAAAATTGAACAAAAATTTAAATCCCGTCCCATAGACACCCCCATACGGACAGAGCGCGAAGTAACGAGCGTAGCTCCGTTACAGTGTTTTGATATCGCCACATTGAAATACCCTAGGGAAATAGCAGAGGGCGCTCCGCCAAAGGTAATTCCCTAGGAATGGGAGCGCGGTATTCGAATACCGAAATTCTCGAGGGCCGCGTATCGGGGAGTCCCGAGTTCTCCGGGAATTCATCGAGTAATGCGTCAGTCCGGCGGAGATGAAAGGGGAAACAGGAGAGGGCGTATGGCAAGGCTGGTCCTGTGGGATGACAAGGGACGCAATGAAGGTACCGAGTAGAGCGAGCAAGAGAGATGGATAGACAAACTAAAATCCGAGACTGCAGGAATGACACTGGCGACAGGTAGGTAAGAGTATGTTACGTAAGAGTGATGGAGGAACGGGGAGGGGAGGGGAGAGGGGGGTCGGAGAGGGAGGGATAAAAAGGTTTCAAAGGGTCCGATAGATCAGAGAAAGCTAGCAAAAGGCGCGAGTTAACCCAAGCAGAAAACTTTCGAAAAACCAAACTCGAAGAAGAGACCAAAATTATGTGAACAAAGATGAGATTAATGGGCCGTGGAATGAACTTTTGCCCCTGCAAGGAGGTTAGGTCATCCGAAAGAGCCACTCGAGTCCACGTCGGCCATGTTCCGTCGTTACGTAGGATTCGTTACGGAGGGAAGCCTAAAACCCACTGTGTAAAGTAACGGGACGCGCCACATGCTCCGGGGATTCCCCGCTCTCCGTCGGGAGCATGTGCGAGCCAGACGTCGCTACCCTGACATCCACGGATATCTCAGAGAGAATTCTCTTGGCGATTCCGACCGTGAATTCCGTCCACAACATGTGGACCCTTTTGGCTGTCGTCTGGATCGCTTCGGTGTGTACGCAACATTAATCCCACTTGGCCCCCATGAATATAGGAATCGCTGTGTATTTCCTGTATATTTTCTTTCTATACTGCTATTTTTGCCCTCCTCTCCCTCGCGTCTTCTTTTTTTATTCATACGTACACTCCCTGCATTGACTTCTTGTTCGCGTGCGATATTATTCAATATTCGTTGCGAGAGTGTGTACGCGCCTTAATCCCCTGGAGCTCGAAACTATACGAACCCAGACTCTCTCTCTCTCTCTCGTTTGATGCTGTTTACCAGTTCTTTTTCTTTCTCTCTTTTGCTCTCGCTGGTTCTATATTTGTTTCTACACTTCTTCCATTCCGAACCCCTTCCTCCACCGTCCCCCCCTTCTCGTCCCTCACTCACCAGAGTCCCTTTAGAACACGATCGGATCGATGCTTCGCAAAAGCTCGACTGGTTACCAGGTATTTGGTACGACCTACGAATTTATTTTTTAAAATTAAAATAACCGTTAATGAGCCACCGTCATTTTGTTAATAATTAACGATGCTATATCGGGGGTATAGCCCGCGCGCTGTACCGTCACGTATTTTAGTAACATCTATGTCCATAAGGAACTCAGAAGGACACTGTCGCGGGAAATTTAAAATGGGAAAAAATATTTTTTTTTTAAATTCTCAATCTAATTAGGAAATATATTAACGTCACTGGCTCGTAATGTCGAGTAATACAGAATTTGTTATCATTAATTAAATTTTTGATATCGATACTTATTAAAATATTAAATACATTAAAATTCTTAATATTTCACTCAGTCGGTGCGATAAAGGTTTAAAAACGTTATTTGTGATATTAAAAAAAAAATATATATATTTTATGCAGGACCCACGGCAATCAGGTTCAAGCAGACTAGAAGATGAAACACGCAGATGAGATTTAAGAAATATCTTCATCCCGCCAGCAACAACCCCCAGTGTATTAATGACTCGAGGTAATTAAATGAAGGTGCAGGACATCGTCTCAAGACGTGCATTTCCGTTTACCCGCGATTACGCGCATGCGCAGACGCTGATTCGGCTGAGCTTGATTATTAGCGTTTTCGCAATTAGCGTTTTCATTACATAATAATAGCTTTGCATTACGCAAATGAGACTGGGGATAAATTATTTTCTGCAAATTTGCCTGTCAAGGGTTTCGTCGATAATGATTCTAGGAAATAGCTGCTACACCACATAAAAATCAAAGAATCCATATAAATCGTGAGGCCAATGTTCAATTGTGATAATAAAAAAGGGAAAATAAAATTTAAAATGAAAAAGTTGTAAAATTACCACTGTCCTTTCTTTTCACTAGTGATATTGTTACTCCACTGCTACTTGTATTTGTACTGCTCAGCCGCCGACACGAGTGCTGTACTCCGTACGTGGTTCAGCAATTAAATCTTGTCAGTAGTGTTTACTCAGAGTTTAACTTGCCAACCCAACGTTAGTGCCGAGTTTACTCGTGCAAAGGGAAGCAAAGTCCCAATGAGACTGACAAAAGTTACTGTTTGCACTAATAAGAGCGAGGCAGTTCGACGTCGAGGACTGTCGCGGTTTGTGAAAACTAGTAATTAGTTCATTTCGTGGTTCAACTTTCAATTAGAGCAAAGGGATCGACGGCATTTGTGAAGGTATAGAAAAACTAGCTGTGAAATCGGGATACTCTGTGTAAAACTAACCTGGCAACAGCCATAGACAATTAATCAAGAGATTCGAATCACGTCCCAAATGCTGTGACTAGGCTGACGATTGATCGTCTGTACATATTGCTAGTGGCGAATTATTATTTTCCAAAAGAAAATCAAACGTTCTCTCAGTATGCGGAATTTAAAAAAATTACAACAGGTTTCTTTTAGTTCGAAAACTTGAAATCTGTTGACAGCTGAATAACGGAAATCCATTCGCGGACCGAAACGTTGATACTTTGACATTTATAGAAATGCGGATTTTTCCTATCGTCATCGTCGAACTGTAGTTTTCCTTAAACCGCCGCCAGGTGGAACTGATGTCTTTAGCCTGGTTCATTTTGACGCTACAAGATATATAGTTACGTATTGTTTGCGCTACGATACAAGGTTAACTTCAAACAGACATTTCCATGTACTTCTAGAAGTTCGCGATAATGACTTTTCGATAATAGCAAAAGTAATATTTCGTTAGAGATTACTTAAAATTCGTACCTGAGTGAATCCGAAGAAATGCTAAATACTTGTACTAAAAGTTCGGCGCAATACACGAGAAAATAAACTCTAAGCTCTTGGACGTCCTACGATCCACATTTAACTGAGGCTATAAAACACACAGTAGACAATGAATCGAAGAAATACTCTTGTATAATTTCACCATCGTTGTACACGGACGGATGATAAAGAATACTTTCAAATTCGTCCTAACGTTCGATACCTTTCTGTGGAAATGCTACGCGTAACCGTTAAAGGGTAGCTCTCGCGCAGTCACAATAAAGTCATCCCCAGTCGACAGCGACTGTAGCAAAATTTAATCCTACGCGAGAGACAGCCATATACATATATACATACGCAGTGAAGTCAGCACGTACAGTCTGTCGCACAAGAGGGTATACATCACAGTATATACCGAAGGTAGTACATGAGTAGATACACACTACGTTCAACCAATGCTATAGCAACGCCAGATTGGCTACTATCGTGAGAAAGTGGAAGCTCCGAACCGCGAGTTGTGCGTTTTGCCACCGAAGCACGCTCCATTATCGCGGATAAATCGATTTGTGAAAATACTTCGAATTAGCCATAAGTTAAACTTACATTTCACAGTCGCAGCCAACGTCGGACGGACAATCTCGCTGAGAAAAATAAAAGGAAACGGCCAGCCATCGGTATTCTAGAAATTTTCGTAACAAACACCAAGCGCATCAGGCTATCTATGCGCAGTCATTAAACTTTGAACTTGGAGGCACGATTAAAATGGAAAAGAAAATGCGTCAGCCGATAAAAATTTCAAGTACAACGCGCGTAATAAAAGAAGGGGGTTTCACAGACAATGGCGCTTAGCTCAATTACTATAAAAAATGCCTAACCTCGTTCGGCGAATGAACTCGTCACAATCTCACAGATATTCTTTTTTTCATGAAAAAAGGAAAGTCTTCCTAGTGGCCAACTATCTCACGTCCGCGACACGGCGAACAAAGAGTAATACAAATAACGTGCACAATATCCACGGACGTGAATAGTCCCGATCTTAAAACGAAAAAAAAAAAAAATTCAAATCTCGACAACATAACTTTCTCGATCTAGATGCAACCCGACTTTACCGTTACAACGTATAAACACAATTTTTCTTTACCAACAGATTATAAATTTTTCGACGCACTTACGGTATATCGTGGACAGCCGGCGAGTAACTTAGCATTGAATCCATCGTGTGTTCCGTGAAAAAGAGATTGCAGTTGACGAAGCGTGTATGAGAGTGACGATGAGAATAATAGAGACACGAAGGGTGTCGTGACGTTATTCAAAAAAAGAGACAGAACCATCGTGGCAGTGAAAGCCAACGTGAGAACCTCGAAACGTGAACGATACGCTGTTCTTGGAGGAACTGAGCTCTCCCCCCCTCGCTCGGTCCTTATATAGCGCCCCCTCCCCTCACTTCTCCTCATCGGCCCCCACCACCGTCGCCTCAGTCTCCATAGTAGGGGAAACGAGGATGGGTGCTAGTGGTCCACCAAGGACCCTAAGGCCGTGTCCCAAATGACAATGTGAAAACTTTCTGCTCTAACCCTCCATCTACCCTCTATCATATCTACCCTTTAGACTCATTTCGTATATCCTGTATTATATACAGTGTCCTCTATAGTTTCTCGTTGCATCTTTATCGTTACGACATTGGTCCAATTGTGTCAGCGTAATGCACGTAAAGGCGGGTTCATTATAAATGACTACACTTTAGGGCGAAGACTAATGATGTAAATAATTAATGAATATTTCTCGAACTCCTTTTTTTTTAATTAGAATTTTTTTTTTCACGCATGACAAAAATTCCGGGACGACGCGGTTTTTTTTTTTTAATACATACCCGCTGTTCACGGAAATTATTCTTTGGGGTAAAAGTAATGGAGATAATAAGCTGCAATGCCGGACTAAAAGGTGTATAGCCGGAAAAGTCACAAAGCTATGTTATTTCTTGACGTCCCATGGCGCGCATTTTGAACTTTGCATCTTTTTTCTTCCTTGAGTCTCGACGTCGGTAATGTATGTTGTGTGCATACGGCACGTGTGTGATCTCGATATACTGTTTGAATTAGAGATGATATACTTGACGCGCATAAATATCATTATCTCTAACAGGCCAAGTAACTGGATTTGGGGTGGCTCGTAAAAGACACGTTGGTCGGTAAAGCAGAGATCCATCTTCTCGAATCTTTTCTAGCCGGTGCGCATTTTTTTCGGGGGTTGGTATATACTCCATCCCTTGGCTAACTTTGATTTATTCCCAATATTAGGTTAAACAACGTAGTGGATATGGGAACTACCCTTAAGACTCTTTTCGTAATACATAATGGTACTGCTGGATCAACCCTTATTGACAGTTAAGAAGAAACATATATATACTTCACCCCTTACAGTCATTCCAACCCTATACCATTCCTCAAGCACTGTTCTACCGAAATACGTCACAATAATACAGTATCTCTCCTGAATCCAAATCGAATCCATCAGCGGACTCACAGATAAAAAAAAAACGACCGTAACCTGTCAATTCAAGATGTCAAAATAAAAAAGTGTCACATTTACAAAAAGAAAAAGGGCATTCAAAAAAGGAGGGTAAAAATTCACTTTTTTCCAAGAATTCCATGTACCCGGTATATCCGTATTCCCCTTACGGCATCCAGCACCCCACCACCAGCTTAACAGGCTATCTAGTGGGGATGGAGGGATGCTGTAACCATGGCAACGCCCAAGAGTGGGGACCGAGCCATAGAAGGCCGACGATGGCATTGATCGCTGCGTCCGTGGACCAGCACTAGGTTGCCACGCTGTAGAAGGGGTGAATACAAACCCCCCACCCGTATGGTCCATACCACGCATTATGGACTTCGTACATAGAAAAGAAGGCATGCGTCCAAGTATGGACCAACGTGCTTACCTTCCTCTTATGCAGGCGCGAATGATTCGCGACACGCCGCCGGTAGGTAACATCCCCTATCAGCAGCCACCCAGACGAGACGCTCCTGCCACCTGGAATCCCTTTTCAACGACTTTCATCCCCTATTCCTACATCCGCCTACCTGGCCGTCATCAAGAATCTTTTCCGAGGATCAGCCCTTGACGTACGTCCCAACGCCATCCGTCCATTCTCAAAAGCGCCCTGAGTCTCAAGAATGGACCACGCATCGTTCCCAAAAAAAAAAAAAAATAAATTCTGGTCCCCCCCTCTAACCTACCATACAACCAGCATACGCATATACATAAATATAACGGATGGTTAAAATCTGCAAAATCAGGAAAGCATTATGCAGTTGATAAGCTTGCTTTTTAACCCACCCAACCCTATTGCGAACTGGACCACGAGGGAGGCTGCGAGAGATAAAGGAACAACCCCCTCGATATAGCACAACAACCATAACCAACCCTAGTGATACTTGCGGATTATGATTGATGCCAACCCTTTTCCACCTTCTCTCCTAGCCACCCCCTGGCGATGCCCGCTCCGCCTCCCTCTTATCACGGCAGCCACGGACGCTTACGATTGTTGCGTCACGCTTGAGATTCTTCGAGTCGGAGAGAAAGAGCGACTGGGCATAAGGCAGACCGAGATGGAAGACTCCACCAGAAGTTCTCTCCTTAATGAAAAATCCGTAGCTACGTCTGACGAGTATCTCAAACTATCTCGTGTATCTACCCAGTCCTGGTATTATCTACCCACCGATATGCCTGCAATCTAGATAACAATACGTATATATCAGATATCAGTATCCACCGCGCTACCCGTCTATAGACTCCAAATTGAATCGCTCGTTCCACCACTGTCTCCACTTTGTGTACTCATCTTTAGGTTTATGCCGTACAATCTTCTGGTCCACGGATGTCCCGGAATAGAATATTTATCTGGTCTCCTTATACATCCAATTCCTCCCTTATATTTATTCTCTTTCTTCGTCTCCTCTTTCTTGCACTATATATATATATATATATATATATATATATATATGCACACCTGAAAGAACCACTTTGATACGCTCCTGAATGCTACCCAATATATTCCAGTGGCATTGCTGACCTCTATACGAGATACAATTATTGCTCGAGTGGCTCGTAGACGCTTTGGGGTCACGCAAAGATCTGAAGCACGGCCACGAGGCACGCACCAACTAACCAGAGATCTCAATAATGTATAAATATATATGCGCGCGCGATAAATAATATACGTGGGGTATACGTAATTTTCAGTGACAATGGTCATGCTCGTTTACGTTACATCTGGTGGGTTAACGTTGTGAGAGCACCTTTAGCGTTTCCGAAGCAAATATTTATCTATGCCCATAATGTATACGGCTATGGGTAAATATGTGTGTAATGTGTATGGGATGACTTTATCTGATACCTAACCCACCTCCCCCCACCCGTGCTATCCACTGACGGAACCATCCTGGCATCGAATTTTTTTTTTCAGATGTTACTAATTAAAAAATTCCACACGAACTCAGATTTCCGTAACGCTGCTTCACTACTCTCGGGGCCCCCGCGCCCCTGCCGTCGCCGCAGCCACCCACTCTATCCCGCCCCACGTACCTTCTACGACTTGCCGCAAAATGCCCCCACAAGCAAATCCGATACTACTTTCGGCCATATCGCGTTCTCAGCCTTGTCCGTTATGTGCATTTAATTTTTTTTTTTTTTTTCGGTTACCTTCTTTGTTATCCGTAAAGCGATATTCACGTGTATGCGGTGTACCTTTTTTTTAGTTTTTAGGTTATGCGTTCGTAGGAATTAAAAAATTTTTTTCTTTCTATTTTTTCCCCTCCCTTCTATCTACTCGTACATTTTTTTTATTGCTGTTATCAATGTCTCGTTGAAAAATAATACTCTCTCACGCTTCTCTGACCGTCCTGAAAACCGCTTCGGAAAACACTCGCCATTCGTTAGCGTAATTTTCCATTGTCTCGCGAATACCGCAACGGGACTCGACCCCCTTTTCTACAAGTGCGTGGATGCTTGTTTGGTTAAGAAAAAAAAATTTTTGAATTCCCGCCAATAATTCAATTTCACAGTATACACCCAGTGCCCTCTATGATCCAGCGTTTCGTACCAATACCCACAGTCACCCTTATTCCACTGACACGGATCCAGCCCTCCTTCCCTTCAGTCACAAAAATCCAAGCTTTATCGAAGGTTCCATTGTCGTAACTGGTATTCGGATTGTGATTGGCTGTCGGTGTCGTCGGTCGAGGACTATAAAAATGCAATTAAAAATAATAGGTAAACTGCTTCGGAACAACGCTGGCTTCGAATCAATGCTAATCAATGTTAAAATAAGCCGATCGAGCATAACACCAGACGATTCCGATTCACAGCAAAAGATATATACGATTTACAAAAATATGGATCGTTCGCGAAAATATAAAAAAAAATCATTAGATATAGATTTAGATCGAAAAATTTTTTTGGTCTCGAAAAAAAAAATCCCAGTACAAATTTATTGCTCGGTACCATAAATTGCATCTACCATATGCAGTACGAAACCGTTCGCGATGCTCAAAATTAGAAGGAGCATCAAACCCGTAAAAAAAATTCCGAGCAGTCCAATCGTAGAGGTAGAATATATAATACACTTGTATACATAGTAGTCTATACCAGTCATAAAACCAAGAACCAATATCAATATGGATATTCAAAGTGACTACTGCCTCGTGTCCCTCTAACGTCCTGCCAATTTATTCGGCATGCCAGCCATACGCGCACGCGGCCTGGTTAATTACGAGTGTGACAATGCAATATTTAATTTAACGCCAGAAATTTAACGTGACGATTTTTCCCACCAGCCAAATCCGACGTAGCCTCGTCAACGGTAGCGGCAGCAGGCACCAGCCCTGGTACGAGTACCAGGAGCATCGTGCCGAGAGGATGACGCCGAGAGAAAGAATAGGAGGACGTAGCCGGTTAAGGATTGAGGGGGTTGCGGGCCGGCGTGGCCATCAAGGAAATTAAGCGTGGAAGCCACAGACACGGCTTTCGATGCCCGGTAATATTCGTACGTACATACGTATTTAATATCATAGATATAAAAACATAGGTATACCTGTATCCAGTCCATACACAGGTCTAAGGGATGGCGTTAAATATTTTTAATTAAAACCAAATCGAGCACGCGTTTTACTGGTGGACGGTTTGTAAAAAAAAAAAAAAAAAAAAAACAACACAGAAAGGAAAAAAAAAGTTGGAGGCGATGGAAGGCAAAAAACAACCGGCAACAAAAAAAAAACTCACCCTGCCCAAAAAAAAAAAAAAAAAAAAAAAACAACACAGAAAGGAAAAAAAAAGTTGGAGGCGATGGAAGGCAAAAAACAACCGGCAACAAAAAAAA